GTATAGAGTTGATGTTTGTTCGGGGCAGGATCTCTGTCTCTTGGGTAGCTGGTTCGAGCGGTTTGTGGGCGCTGGGGTCGCGTGGCAGCGCGGCAAATCGAAAAGCGATCGGCCTCCTACGACGTGCTGCGTCACCGAGAGGCTCAGGGCCGAGGCGGCGGCCGGCCTCCTCGTCCCAGTCGCACACAGATGCGCTCACAGGGCACTCGCAGCGGTCCAGCACTTCCCCCTTCCACACTCACGCCACAATTCAAGGCTGCTGGTAGGAAACTGGTGTGCACCCCGCCTCAGAGCGCCCGGCACCACCCCGCCGGCCCGGCGGCCTGCATCCCACCCACACCTGCCCACACGGCAGCGTACTGGAGTCCCAAAACTTTCCCAACCAGCGCCTCCATAGGGCTCTCCCTGGCAGCCTGTCCAGCCCTCCAGGCAGGTCCTTGACAGGGCCCCAAGCTCAGCCCCCAAAGCCCCCAACACCCCACCTGCCCTCCGTCACCACACCCTCACCTTGCTGCCGGCCGGGACCGTAATCGACCTGACAGACAGCGCCCCGCCCAGCGCGCATCCGGAGATGACCACGGCGGCCGCCGCGGGGAGGGTGATGTCGCTCGCTGACGTGGCGGCCGGGTAGAGGGTCTCCCATTTGACCAGGGTGGGGGTGGCGGTCGCATCGTACTGCGGCGCATCAGGGGAGCGGGTGCGTGAACAGTTTGTGGTTGGTGACAGGAACAAGCGGCAGTCCAGCATGCTTTAGGAAAACCATGGCATGGTGTGCCCAAAATCGTGGCATGGGCGCCGCCCGCTAGCGAGTCCCCAGGGCGGCGGCAGCAACATGCTTCGCAGCCACCCCAATTCGACTGAGCCGGAGGGCGCGAAACACCCAGGATACACAGGAAGACGCGAGGGTCACCAGCCCCTGGCCCCAGGCCGCTTCGCCCCTGCATCTCCCCGCCCTCGCACCGGGCAACCCGTGCGCGCCACGCCGTCGCCGCCCGGCGCGACCACCGGCCAAGGGCACACAATTGCTGCCGCCTGCATTCCGGCCCCCTCGAGCGGCGCCGCGGCGAGCGCCGGGCGCGCGGCCGCATGCCGGGCGACTGCCTGCGTCTGGGTCGCCGCCAGCTGAGGGTATGCGGCCGCGGCCGCCGCCGGCCCCGCCGGCAGGAAATTCTGCTGGTTGCTCCTGCAATCCTCAAAGGAAGCGTATGTGTTGTGCCCAGAGTCGCAGAACCCGCAGTTGTCGGGCAGTGCCGCGCGCGGCGGCACGACGCTGCCGCCGATCGCAGCGCGCGGCGGCGGGCCTGGGGCGCCCGTTGGCGCGCCGTCGGCAGGGCCGTCGGGGGCGAAAAACGGCATCGCGGCGCCTGTGCCGCCAGCAGGCGCTGAGTCGGCAGGAGCGAGCGCAGCGAGCGCCGCGGCGACCGGCGCGGCGGCGGCGCGTGAGCAGCGCTCATGGACGCACTCGCACACACGGTCGGGGACCGTGGTGGTCGCGATGATGCAGCCGCCGGGGCACGCGGGGCTGCGCACCGCGCAAGACCACGGCGCAGCGCTGAGCAGCAGCAGCGCGAGCACGGGCCGCTGGCCCATCGCGCCGGGCCCTGCAGGCCACGCCATGGTTCTATTAGGGTTCTATTTGATTCGCTGCTGGGCCTACACGCTCGTACAAGGGCGCTCAGGGGCCAAAAGGGGTTCACTGCGCGCCTGTGCGAGGCTGCACCCGGTTACATGAAGCTATGATGTTCATTATGGTATTTAAGACGCAAAGAATGACGAAGGACGGCCGAGTGGGCGGGCACTTGGACTCGGAATCGCGGTTGGAAGAGTCACTCGGTTAGTGACCCACGACGATGATTGCACCGGCCAGTTGCTGGTCCAGGTGGTCCAGCCACTTCGAACACTGGACATCGCACATTTCTGATTTGCAGGTGGCCAACACCGGTGGCGTGGCAAGCGCAACAGACGGTACCTGGGCGCGCTGCATTACACAACAGCAAGAGCCTGGGCATTCGACAAATCCAAGCCCGGCACTGGCAGAAAGGCCTTCCACACCAGGGCAATTGAGGGTGCCAGCGGGACTTAGGATGCCGGGTGAGCGATGTGTGTGGGGTGAACCGTTTTCACTGACTCAGGCGCTCGCTCTGGGCAACACTGCGACAGCACAAAGCGCATGAGTGCGAGTGACTGAGGGTCGCGCCCGCCGCGTATCTTCGTCTCTGCAGCCTGTCCCCAGAAGGTTCTGCACCCAGCCTCCCTCCCTGGCCCGTCACCCGCCTCCGCAGCTCAGTGAGATGCTCGGCCGAGTGCTGCCCATGCTGCATGCACGGCGGCCCCATGCACACGCGCCCACCCCTGGCGAACCCCGCGGACCCTCCAGCTCGACTGGCTGCGCAGCGCCGCGGCACCGGATCTGCCGAGCATTTGCTGGCCCGGACGTCCAGCTCGCCTGCTGGGACGGGGCGGGTGTGTCAAGGGTGCTTTCTCAGCTAGGATGGTTGCCGCTCTGCCTGCCGTCTTTCACTAATGCCTGGCTGTCGTCGGCCAAACCAGAAAGGGTCTCCATGAGCACTCGAGCGCCTTGTTTCAGAACATTACCGGGCCGTTTGCCTGCGGCGTGTGTGTCATTGGCACGCATGCCTGCTGTCACAACTCACCCATGCCCAGCGCAGCCCTGTGCATGGTAGCAGTGTTGAGCATGCATCTTTTTGTGCGGAATCTGCACGAGTCAAGCCGCACTGCTGCTGTTGTTTGATATGTAGGGTCCGGATTGCTGTGGCCTTGCAAGCCTGGGGGTCCCACGCCCATGGGTGCCCTGTGGCACCGTGCATGCACCACTCATGGGCCCCATGACGTACAAGTTTCAAGTGGTCTTGGCTCACTGCGCTGATTTATGTCACTGCAGGGTTCTCAACTCGAGGCCTTGCTGTAGCCATGGCTGGGCGCATAGCCATGGCTGGGCGCAGTTTGCTTGGTTGCAGCACAGCACTCACACCGACAGATGGGCGTTTGACGGGCAGCCAACCTCGAAACGACGATTGGCGACTCAAAACACATCTAGAAATGACTATCAAGAGTTGTATTGTTATTTGTGAGTGTATTCGCAACGCTTGCAGAAACTCGATGTTGACTCTCAGGCCGCGGCGCAGTGTTGCGAAGAAGACGCGTTGCAGTTGAATCACCTGTTTCAGCGCGGTTTCACAGATTGAACGCACGCACCACCGTGACACCAGTGCCGTGGCCATTACGCAACGCAACAGCAGCACGCGCAACGGGACGCGCGCCGCGCCAACGGCGCAGGCCGCCCGCGCAGCATGGGCGAAAGGGTAGACCTGACCCAGCTAAGGGAGCGGCTGGCGCGCCTGGGGGTGCACCTCGATCTCGACGGCGCCTCGCCGACGGCGGCAGACGAGGCCGCAGCAGCAGCGACTGCGGGCACGGGGCCTGACCGAGGGGCCGACGGGCTGCGGCACAGGGACCGACAGGTGTGCACACCCTGCTGCGGCGGACGACCCGCGCCGCGCGCCGGCCTTCCCTGGTCGCGTGGCTCCCAAGCGACCACACGAATTGCATTAGCTGCTGCGTCGCCGCTGCGTCGCTGCCCCGCCCCCTCCACCCCAAAACCCCACCTCCGGGGTCGCGCCGCGGCCGGCCCTCCGCCTCGGCGGGCTGTGCGCGTCGTTGCCCCCTTGCACACACCCCAGGACGCAGCCGATGACCCGACATGGGCGTCTTTTGACAGGTGGTTGGATGCGCCGCGCTTAGGCACATCCCCGCTTTCCCTACTGGCCGCCGCCGAGACCCCCTGCGAGAGCTGGCTCACAGTCAGGCACGCCTCTTGTCACGCCGCCACCCCCAGCCCAAACACAAGAATCTCAACATGCCCCAAAAGTCCCAAGTTTCAGGGTGTCTGCTCATCCGCGCCCAACCAATCTTTGTTTATCACTTGTATAATCCCATTCAGGAACAAGCGGGAGGTGAGGGACCTCTTGGACCGCTGCAACCGCGTGGAGGCTGCCCTCACCGCGCCCGCCGCCAGGTCAGCGCGGCGGCGGCGGTCGGAGGGCTCCTCTGATGACGTCAGCGGCGATGACGGGGACCGTGGCGGCCGCCGCGGCGGAACGGGAGGTGACCTGGGATTGGATTTGCGGCGGCAGTGGGAGGACACGGGGGCAACAGCCGCGGCAGGGGCATGGCGGCAGCAGCAGCAGCAGCAGCAGCAGCGCGCGCCGCCGGGCGGCCGGGGCTCGCGTGCCGGGCCGGCGGCGGCCGAGCAGGCGTGGGCGCGGCCGGCGCAGCCGGCGGCTCCCTGGCTCGGAGGCGGCGGCGGCAGGTGGGTGCGCCCGTATACTGCATACCTGCGATCTGCATGAGGCTTGAGGGGACGCGGTGGTTCCCATGCAGTGAGGCGTTGCGCCGACGAGCCTAAGAATTGCGTCAACGTGCCGTTTCTGCTACATCGCGTCGCCCGCTCTCGACGGTCCCTTCCCGCCACAGGGCAGCGCAGCAGCTCCCCCGCGCCCCCGGCCGGCAGCCCCCTGCGCGGCCGCGCGATGCCAGGGGGTCTGCGGCGCTGGTCGCGGCGGAGGCGGACACCGCGGCGGCGCTCGCGGCGCTGGCGGGCGGGCCCGGCAGCGTGAGGGGCACGCCGCTGGGGTCGCTGCTGGCCCAGTGGAAGGAGGCGCAGGCGGCGTGGGCGGCGGAGAAGGTGGGGGCAGCGCGGCCTGCATCCGCCAGTCGAGTCTGCTGGATACACAACTCGGCTCGTCTCAAATCAGGCGACGTCGCGCAGCTTGAGCAGGGGTCGGCATGAGGTTTGGCGGCTGGCCTGCATCACGCAACGCCCGCCACCGCGGGGCTTGAGCGCAGCGCCACCACGCGCGCACGTTGATGCCCCAGCAGCACCACCACCCCTTGAGCGCAGCATCAACCCCCGCGGTCGTCATAATGCTGCCCGCAACCGCAGGCCAAGCTGCGGCGGGACGCGGCGGAGGCAACAAAGCGGGCGGCGAGGGCTGAGCTTGAGCTCACCAAGCAGGAGAGGGCCGCGGCGCACAGGGCGGCCGACGTGGCCAGCCTGCGGGCGGCGCTCAAGGGTGCGTGCAGGCGCGTGGCGTGCGGCGGCGCGTGTGTCTGCGACGGCTGCGCTGGAGACGCGACAGCGGGCTGCGGCTTCCCCGTCTTCCGGTGCAGCAGTGCAAAGCAGAGTCAAAGTTTTGCTTCCACACGGCCCCTACTAACCGCTCGCGTAAAAGCCTTCTTTTGCAAAAGACAGCACCGCCATCTGCTGCCCACGATGCGCCCTCTGACGCCGCCCACCGCCTGCCACCCGCAACCCGCCGCTGCCACAGGCCGGGACCTAGCACTGGATGACGCCCTCACGCGGTTGCGCGCGGCTGAGGACGCTTTGGCCAGGTGCGGGGCAACGCTTGTCGGGAGGGCTCCCCCTCGCCCATCCAGCTACGGCTGGCCAACCCAGCCCGCACCCTTGCCGGCACGCAAGGTCGCCGGCCGCCCTGCGGCGGCAGCCTCTGTCGCGCCGATCGCTCCGCCGCCGCACCCGCGGCCCCCGCGCCTCGCTGTCGATGCCCACAGGGCGAGCGAGGCAGCTGCCGAGAAGCTGTGCGCCCTGGCAGCCGAGAGGGACGACCTGCAGGTGGGCGGGCGCGACACGATGCAGGGGCCGCCCGGGAAGCTGGTCGGAAGCTGGAAGCCGGGGAGCCGCCCCGTTGTGGCTTCCCGACAAGCAGCCGGTTGACGAGGCGTGCCTGTGGGCCCCACAGCGTATGCACAGAATCGCGCGATGACGTCATGTAGGGCACCCACGTGGAGGGCGATGACAAGATGTCATGATACCCAGTGGATGACGGCGGCATCTTGTAAAGGGCGCTGCCGGCCGGCCGCGGGTTGCCCTGCAGGGGCTCCTGCTGGCGACGCTGGACCGGTTAGAGGCGGTGGAGGGTGCCGCGGCCGCCGCGGACCGCGGCACCGATGCACTACAAGAGAAGGTGCGCTCGCGGTGCCCCAGAGTCCCCAGAACCCCCCCGTCCCCCCTCGCGCCACAAAAGGAAGCTGTCAGGACAATGCAGGCGGCGCTCGACCGGCCATGGCCCTCGTGTTGGCAATATCATTGCAGTCTGTTGCAGCGCCGCAGCCCGCGCTGGCTGTTGTTTGATGCAGTCGATCTGAGTTGCGGTGTAGTCTGGAGCCAGGCCCGCGGTGTGCTTCGTCCGTGTCAAGCTGTGCTACGCGTGCTGGGTGCGCTGCTGCTGCGTCGCGCCCGCAGGTCCACCGGCTCGAGGAGGAGCGCCTGGCCGCGCTGGAGGCGGCGGCGACGGCACGGTCAGAGGTGCGCCCCCGGCCGCGGCTCAGGCGGAGTGGCGGCGGGAGAGGTTTGCCGGCTGCGCCTGAGGCCAGTAAGGCCAGCGGCTGGTCAGGCCTGGGGCCGCTCGCTCTGCTTGGTTGGGTACGCGGCGCATCAACCAGGTCAGACGTGCAGTATGTATGTGCGGACGGCGTGGAGTCGTGATCGCAATCGCAATGCGCGCAATCCGCGTGATCCTACGCAGGTGCGGGAGTTGGACGAGGCGCGGCGCCGGCTCGAGTGGCAGGGGAAGCTCCTAGACAAAATGAGCGAGGTGAGCGTCATACAACGAGGTTGGAAGCCCTGGATGACGGCAATGTGCGGCGACGAGCAGGCGCACGAGATGCGCGGGCCGGCGCGGCATCTCTGGAGAGCGCAGGCGGCGTCACTGCGGCCGGGTGCGTGGGGGGAGCTGTCGTGTGCGGCAGAGGTGCCACTCAGTTTAGGGATTCCACGCTGCTGCGCGCGCGCCTGCAGGTGCAGCTGCGCCACAGCAAGCGCAAGGCTGCGGCGATAAAGGACCTTCTTTCGGATGCTCACCGCGCCGAGGGCGCGGCCACGGGCTGCGGCGGCGGCCGCAGTGGGGCGGACCGGGACGCGAGCGGGTCGGCGCGAGCGCTGCTGCGGGCGCTGCGCCTGTCCGCTGGCGGCGGGGCCGGCAGCGCCGGCAGCGAGAGCGGCGGCGGCGGGTCAGGGTTTTTGAGCGGGGATGAGGGGGATGAAGGCGGAGGCTTGGGGCTGGAGGTCTCCGCAGCTGATGGGGAGGCGGCAAGCCTCATCGCTGGACTGGGGCGTGCGGCAAGGGCCTGCAGTTGATGGCGGGTGTCGGGTTGCTTGTTTAATCGCAAAAGATGGTCTCACCAGGTTATTGTATGCAAACGGCCGGTGGGCTGTCCGCATGCGCCTGGTCAGCCTGCAGGCCCTCTTTCAAATGCCGCTGCCGCGGCGTCAACGTCAAGTGCTGCTTGATGTCGCGTGGCTCCTCCAGGGCCTCCAGGTGCCGCAGTCAGCGCACGCCGGGCGACAGTACGATACTGCCATCCGTCTGCTTTATGTCTGATTGTTTGATGCAGCACAATTAACTCGTATCCATCCGCATAAACGCGCCGTGGGTACCTGCCGCAAAGCGGCCAGTGCCGCTGGATCAGTGATGGATACCCAAGGGTGAAGCAGCAGAACCGCATTTGTATCTGGAACATCGGTGGCTAGCGTTGGGACAGCGTCAAGCTCGTGTAGCAGGGACTTTGGGGCTGCTGCACCCACGAGCCTGGCAGTGCCATCCCAAGATGGGGGCCTCGCAGACCGTCATGACGCTGGTGGTGATAGTTCTATGGTGCGTCTTGACATTGACGCCTTGGACTCCCTGGGAGCGGCCTCTAGAGCGATGGGGTCGGAGTGCTGCAGTAGCAACTGTTGACGAGATTGTCTAAGCTCGCCCCGCCCCTATATGTCCGCAGGTACGTCAGCAATGTGGGAGTGTTACTTTTGAATAAGTTCCTGCTCACGAACACGGGCTTCAGGTGCGAAGCGGCGTCGGTCTGTCCATGCGACTGATGCGAGCTCGTGTCCTTGGCGCCAAACCGGCGTCCTGCAGCTTGCACAAGCTAAGGAGCTTGAAAGCACCGTGGAACAGCAGTTTGAGTCTTGAATACTTGCTGTTGCAGCTAGACCCCACGAGCGACTGCTTGCCAGCCAGGGGCCGAACATATTGACCCGGTCCAGGGTGGCTTGAATTCGCGGGCGCGGCATCAACGTGCACTCGCATGCCCTTTGCCCGGCGCAGGCAGCCCGTGTTCCTCACGCTGTGCCACATGATGGCATGCTGCTCGCTGGCGTACGCGCTTTCACTGGCCAAGTCGTTCCCAATTCGACCGCTGCGGTCGCGGCGGCAGCTTTGGAAGATTTGCCTGCTGGCAACCATCTTCTGCATCACCATTGTGCTGGGCAATTTGAGCCTGAAATATATCCCAGTCAGCTTCAGCCAGGCGGTGGGAGCGGGCACACCTTTCTTCACGGCGGTTTTCGCTTTGCTGCTGCAAGGTGGGCTCCCAGCGCATGGTGTCGGGCTGCGCACACAGTCCGGGCATGGGGCATGGTCTGTGGCGAACCTGTGAGGCTGCGCATTGGTAGGCATGCCATGCACACACAATGCACATGCGGCCGTCAGCGTGCGGTCTTGGTTGCATGCATGCCATGCGTGCTATGCATGCGCCGCCATGGCGCCATGGACGAGGCCAGGGTGGATTCATGCAGCCAGCGAGGTTCGATGCGGGCTGATCAGCAGCCGCGACAGACCCTGGATGCAGCTTCTGTAGGTGTTTGAGCATGCAGGCGGGTCCTTGGGACATGCGGCCTCGGCGCAAGCGTAATGTTGCGTCGGCGTGCTGACGCTGCGTGCATGTGCGACGCGCCGTCTCTCCCATGCAACTTTTGCGCAGGCTCGCGGGAGACCGGCACAACGTACGCGACGCTTGTGCCCATTGTGGTGGGCGTCATCATCGCCAGCGGCGGCGAGCCCCACTTCCATTTCGTGGGCTTCATGGCGTGCCTGCTGGCGACGGCGCTGCGCGCGCTGAAGAGTGTGGTGCAGGTGAGAGCCGGGATGCCTGCGGTGGATCGTCATGGGTTGCCGCAGCATCCCCCTGGCGGCAGCTGTCGGAAGGCGCTCGGCTGTGCCTGGGTTGACAGGGGGGCCTTGAGATCGCGTTGGGGGCGCGGTCACACGGTGTGCACCTGCAGCCATCCGCGGCAGCATCCCTGCGTGCCATGCATGCCGTGCCCCTACGCGCCCCTTCTGTTGCGTGCGTGCCTCCCCAGGCCATGCTGCTGTCGGACCCCAATGAGAAGCTGGATCCCATGAGCCTGCTGTTCTACATGAGCAGGTGCGGCCGCACGTGGCTGAGACCAACACGCCTGCATGCTGCAGCCAATTGCATTTCCGTTTCCAGCGGGCTGTTCATAGCGGGCGGGGGAGCCGGTGCATGCACCATTGCCGCAGTGACGTAAGCAGGGGTTTGATGGGACGGCCGTTTGACGCCCACCCCACCTGACGCAAACGCGCGCCCCTGCGTGCGTCCGCCCCGCCGGGACGCAGCTTCAGCGTGCTGCTGCTGCTGCCTGCGACGGCGCTGCTGGAGCCGACGGCGTTCGGCAAGACGCGCGCGCTCGTCGCGGCCAACGGCAGCTTCTTCTGGTGGCTGCTGGTCAACAGCTGCATGGCTTACGCGGTCAACCTGACCAACTTCATGGTCACGAAATACACCAGCGCGCTGACGCTGCAGGTGCGTGCAGCATGCTTGCTTGACAAAACGTATTGCGCCGGGGGGCGGACTTGGGGGCTGACGTGGCGTTTTCGACACGCCCTGCTGCCATGTTTGGTGCGTGGTTGGGTGAGGCGCGGCGTGTGGGTTTTGCAAGTGCTAAGGGTGGATGTTGAACTCGTGCGCGCACGCACGCTTGCAGGTGCTCGGCAACATGAAGGGAGTCATCGCGGCGGGGGTGTCGGTCGCGATTTTCAAGAACACGGTCACCCTCAAGGGCATGGCCGGCTACGCCATCACGGTCGCGGGCGTCTTCATGTACTCGGCCTCGAAGCGGCGGCAGCAGGTGCTTAAGGCCGTCGACTCGGCGAAGAGCATGCAGGACGACGCGGCCGCGGCGACGGAGCCCCTCATCAAGGCCGGCCACATGGGGCCCGGCGGCGGCGCCGGCGGCGTGGCGATCACGCTCGTCGCGGACGCGAGCGGCGGCGGGGCCGGCGGCGGCGGCGGCGGCGCGCACCACCACGTCAGCGGGGGCGGCCTGCTGCCGACGAGCACGCAGATGCTGCAGGGGCACCGCAGCGGGCGCAGCAGCGCCGGCGCGAGCGTCGGGGGCGGCCTCATCGTGACGGTCTTGGGGCACCCGCAGTGATCGCGACCGGTGCCCCCGCAATGCCGCGCCCACGCGCGCGCGCGCGGGCTTACGTTTGATAGCAATAGCAAGACTGCTGCGTGGGGGGTAGCTTATTCCGGCGGTCCTTGAGCGCCCGGCGCGGCCGGCCGCGGCTCTCCCCTGCGCAGGGCGGCCCCCGCGCCTCCGCGCCAGAGGGCGCGCCGCGCCGCGCCAAATGAACGACGAACGCCCCCAAACTGCATCACTGGTCACTTGGTTTATTTAAGCTGGCGACTCCCTGCTTCGCGACTGGCACGCCCTCAATCGGGCGCGGCTGCGCCCCACCCTTCCTGCGAGACGCGGCCCCACGCCGGCTGCCCCGCCCGCGCCTAGCCCTGGCCACAGGGGAAGACCCCGGCGTTGCTTGCCGCGCAGCCACCCCTGGCGGTGCGGAGCGGCGTGCTTGCGGTGGCGCTCGCGTCCACCCGACTGCACTTCTGTGATCGCTTGACCTTGCACTTCACATCTTTTCGACTCCACCAAAGAGCGTAGTTTCATCCCTGCAGCGTACGCTTTCAGCACTGACTTGCTCTAGGCGGGGGGCGTATCCCCCTGGAAAGAAAGCGAAACATCGTCTCTGTCACATGCCATTCGAGAGCGTGGCGGCACGTGGAAGCGTGAGGCCCATAGTGTAATTCATCATGGGAAGTGCGGTGGTGCGCCAAGGTGTGCGGCGGTGTCGCAGGACCACGCCGGGTACTAAAGGCCAGGCGCATGTCGAGGTGGCGCCGCGCGTGCAGGAGAGTAGGCATCGTCTGCACGAGTTGCTCTTGAAGCTGCTGCATATCAGAAGCCAACTTTAGAAACAACTTCTGATTGATGAGAAAATATTGCAAGTCTCCGAAGTGTTGTCCACACCCTGGTTCGCGGGGCATGCAAATCCTGTTTGGAAAGACCCCCAAAGACCCCCAAGGCCCCCGCATCTGACCGGCTCGCACGGGCAGACCGCGAGATCGTGAGATAACAGCAACATCATATCAGGCATAAATATGCGTATCACCTGGGGGTGGCGCGGGGGTAGCAGGCGGTGAATTCGGGCTGCGTGGTCATCAAACCCATTGAACTGCCCGCCCCGCGGCCCGCCCAAACCCAACGGTCTACACATAAGCATGTATGACATAGACGTACTATTATCTCACGATCTCGTGGTCTGACAGGCCCGTGCGAGCCGGTCAGATGCGGGGGCCTTGGGGGTCTTTGGTCTTTGGGGGTCTTTCAAAACAGGATTTGCATGCCCCGCGAACCAGGGTGTGGACAACACTTCGGAGACTTGCCATAAAGCAGAATGGTGGGAAGGATGAATGCCGGGGGGGGGGGCGAGGTATGCTTCGGGTTTCAAGCTTGGCATCAATGCTCCCAGGGGCCCGCCAGCGCCCCACCGGTGCCGCCAGCGCGATTTGCCCTGTTGGCATGGGCTCAAGCAGCGATCCCACGAGATCTCGTATCCAGATCGACCATGCAGAACGGCCGCATCCAGGTCCATAGAGCTCCAAGGCAGCCTGGAAGAAGGGCTCGTCGGACGTCATACTCGAGTCGTTGTTTTCAACGCGTGTGGCATCTTGGTATGTACAATTCAGCCGTGAGGTATTGTTTGATGCGATTATGATATCATCCGCTCTGAAGCAGCGTGCTCACGAGTGCGCGGCCAGCGAGTGCTCGGCATCAACGCTGGAGCGGTCCCGGCCCCGAAATTCAATGACAAGCGACGCAGAGGTTTCTCTTGGTCTGCATTCCCACCGCCGCGGTCTGCACGGGCTCCTTGGCACAGCGGCGGCGGCACCCGCGCGCCTGCTGCGAGGCGCACTGCACCTCAGGCCCCGTCTGCGCCGCCGGCACGGCGACGGCATGCCGGGGCCGCTCGCTTCGATGACGGCGGCAATGTACGAGCCCAGGGTGGAGTTCTGGTGAGCGGGCGGGCGGCGGCGTCGCCACATCCGCGCGCGCCTGGCAGCGCGTCGCGCCTGGTTGGCCACAGCGGGCGTTCCGCGCTTGCCACCGCCGTACTCTTGACACCTTGCCTGGCCGAACTGGAAGTGTCAGGTCAAACGCCTACGCACTGTTTTTGATCTTAACTTGCACAAACCCACCGCCCCATCGCCTCGCGCCCCGCAGCCACGCGGCCCCAGATGCTGACCTGGCGCGCCCCCAGCCGCCCGCGTGGCCAGAGTGGCTCCCGGCGCCCCAGCCCGGCCCCTTCGACCTGGCCGCCTCCCTATCCGCCCTCGGCGCCACCCTGCGCCGCGGCGCCCTCGGCGGCCCCGCGGCCTCCGACGCCGCGGCGGCCCCGGCGCCCGAGCCGACGCCGCGCGGCGCGCTGGCCGCTGTCGACACCTCAAACACACTCCCCCTGACACTGCCGGCAAGCGCCGCCCCCGGCTCCGCCGCGCCCGGCGCCGGCGCCGGCGCCGGCATCGGGGCGGAGCATTCGTTGGTGGCGGTCGGCTGCCGGCACTGGCTTGCAGGGAAGGTAAAGATTTACGATTTTGCTGTGTATGCAGATGCGCGCGAGGCGCGCGCCGCCCTGGCCGGCGCCTTCACCGATGCGGCGGCCGGCGGCGTTGGCACCGCCGCCCGCGAGTCACGGGGCGAGCGGCGGCGGCGGCGGCGGGCGACCAAGGGGGCCAACAAGCATGCGGGGGAGGCGGCGGGGGCGGATGCGGCGGGCCTGGAGGCGGCCCAGTTTTGTGGCGACGACGGGAAAGAGAGGCAGGCGGCCGCCAGCTGGTGGCAGCCGCTCCAGCTCTCCCTGGGCTGGTGGCCCCAGGATGAGCAGCAGCAGCAGCAGCAGCAGGAGCAGGAGCAGCAGGAGCAGCAGCAGGCGCGCGCCGGGGCGGCGCCCCTCGAAGACGCCGGCGCGACGCAGCACGCCGCCTGCGCGCGCCGCCCGCGCCGCCTGCTCCCGCGCCGCTCGCGCAAGCAGCCGCCGCGCCTTGAGCTCGCCGCCGCCCACTCTGGGGACGCTGCGCCGCACGCGCCCGGGGGCGGCGCCGCAGCGGCGGCGGCGGCGGGCCTGCCGGCGGCGCTCAAGTCGAGCGGCGACTGCGGCGTGAGCCTGCTGCTGCGCGCGGCGCGCGACATCCCCCTGGGGCAGCTGCGTGACGAATACGAAAAGGTGCTAAAGCGCCGCCTGGAGCGCGTCGGCGGCGACCCCTCGGACCCCGCGCTCGCGCAGCTGCTCGGCAGCTTCACAGACCCGCGGCGGCTGCCGGCGGCGGCGGTCGCAGGCGGGGGGTCGGCAGTGCGGCGGGGGGCCAGCATTGTCTTCACGCGGCAAGGGCCCGTCGTGGAGGCGCGCGTAGGGTGAGCTCAGCCCCCTTTCCCCGCTCCGCGCGACTCGACCCATCCACCCCCCCTGTTCGCTCGCTGAGTGGTGCACGCGGGGCGCCTGTTTGGGTGTTTGCCCCACGCGCAGCGGCGACTCACCTGCCTGCCCCGCCGCTCCCATCGCCCCGCATGATGTCTCGCCACACCTCAACCCACCCTCACTCTCATCCTCATCTTCGTCTCATCCTCATCTCATCACGCCATCGGGTCCGCGCAGGCCGCACCACCTGGGCAGCGTCACCAGTCAACACCTGGGGGAGGCGCTGTTTGACCTGTATCTGGGGGACTCCCCAGTCAGCGCCAGGGCCAAGGCCGGCGCCGCCGACACCCTCGCGCGC